TTTTTTTTCAGAGAAGACATTTAAAACAGTCGCACAGAAATTTGCAATATGACGTAAATAATTCAGGTTTGTCCACTTTTCACTCGGACTCCTGGTGGATTCCTTCCTAAATTATCAGTTTGCAACGGAAAATCCATTCTTTAAGGAATTACAAAGTAAGGAGGTTGGATTGAAAAAAGATGCTAGGTAAAGCAAAATACTGCCATAATTTTAACACAAGATTTAGAGTGCTCTTACAAAATATATCTCAAAATTCTGATGCCTGCTACCTTGGCTTTTCCAAAAGTATGAACTCGTTGATGTTATCCAATACATTCCATGCATTGTTAAAGAGGAAAAATCCCACTGCGTTCGTAACGATCGTGCTGACGCGTGTGATATTCATTTCCTAGATGCATGTAGGCTGTATTGCCGACAAGGACGATTCATCGTTTATCCCAAGGGTATAGTAAAGGACGGAACAAGATGTCAATATGGTCAAGTTACGAAAAACGATATTTGTATTGGTGGAAAATGTGTGGTAAGACGATTTAGCCTAACCCGTAACTCTACTTTGTCCATGGCTTTCAGCTCAAAATATGATCCAACTCAGCTAGTGAATTTACTGGCTAGTTAAATTCAGCAAGTGACGTGCACGTGACTCAAACGGAGACTAAGAATGTTATCCAGTTTCAAGTTACGGCCCGAGAGAAGTAATTGCATCGGAAATTATTTCATTCTTCTTAGCATTATTGTTGTTGTTATTATTTACCAGTGTTATTTCTTTCATCCAGCATCGAAGCTCGCCGAGTGTTACATCGCTTTGCGCACTTCATAAATAGGGGACTTAAGATTTGAGTAGGAGATCGAGAACGATCACATCACGTACCCATTTCATCCCGTGAGCTACCCTCTGCCTAAAACCAGCATGAAGAGCTAGGGCTCTGAGAACGTCACTAATTTGAAAATCGAAAATCCTACCCGTACTCAATCTCGTACTCGTAGTCCAATCTAAAGCTCCCTATTGTCTCATGTGTGGTCGGTGAAACCTA